GGGTCGTGAGGGTCCTTGCTCCGGTCTTCTGCTACACGCACCACTTCCTTCCGGTTCAGGGCGGACCGGAAATTCCTCTTCCAGGTTGGCAAGTCGGGCTTATCCTTCCCGGGAGTATAGGCACCACTGGCCTCAGCCCAGGCCTGGGGCAACAGTGGTGTCAGGATAACGGGGGAAGATGACTTAGACCCCATCCCTGAGGGCCTAACCCTGCCTCCTCTGGTCCTAACACCACCCTCTCCCCATGGCAAGTTCTAACTCCGCAAGGCTCCAGCTCCCAATTCCCTGCGCCCCAAGCTCCATACCCTCCATCATCCCTCACCTTCACTTTCCAAATACCTTTTCTGAGCCAGCCTTCCAAGTCCTACTTGGCATCTAGCTCTGTCACCACCCGCCCCAGGACACCCTCCGTGATAACCCCACCCCCTTACACTCTGTTTACCACCACTGGTGTATTCTAATTTGGTAGTTAGTAAGCCCAGATGTGGGGCTCTTGAGTTTTGCCTCTAATGTTCCAACAGCCACCCCCAGAATCCTACAACCAAGAGCCCGGCCCTCAGAGAGCTCCCCGCCCCGAGGATGCATTTCCTTGGCGTTCTAACACCACATTTCGGTTCTATTCCCAGAACCAGGCTGTTCCAACCCTGCCTGCGCCCCACCATCAGTCCACCAATCCTGCTAGCCCTGTCCCACCCAAACCTATTTTTTTAATAAATGGAATCTCACTTTACAAATTGTCTCTGCAAAATTTAAGCCCGAATAATAGAAATTCTGCAATAGGAATTTTACTTAGCACTGAAAAAAAATCTCTAATCCTCTCAAATATACTGCAAGTATTATATCCTCTTTTGACAGTTTAAGAAAGTGTGACTCAACAGGGTTAGGTAATTTGCCTATGGAAATTCTAGTGTGTAAGGGAGAATATACACTATGCTTCAAAACCAAGTTGTCAGCATGCTGTTTAAATACAATAATGGTAAGCATTGATGATAATAGAAAATATATATTGCTGTTGCACATCTTAATTATGACGGTCACCTCCTGTATCTACCAAACACAAGATATAATCAAATGACTTTGCTCTAGACTTTAGAGGAGTAAAATGTGACGGTGTAACTAACTGTACGTAATATTGCCAGATGAATAATTTTATGACCTTTTGAAACATCAGCCTAGAACCTACAATTCAATAAGGTGTAGGTACTCCTGGCCAAGATTACTGAAATGATATTATTGCTATGAAGAGAAATGCTGCTAGTTTTGTGTATCATTGAACCAATCTAAGTGCAGACAATGATGGCAATAAATCCTATCAAATATTTGGACAGAAAGGTGAACTACATGCATTGCGTTTTTAAAATTAGGATAGAGAGAAAATCTTTTTTTAAATTTGTCTTTGTTTTTATTTTATTTATTTATTTATTTTTGGTTCTTCACATCTTTATTAGTCATAAGAATGAGAAAGTTTAGGTTTGATTTGATTTCTTTTAGACGCTGGGAACATGGATTCATGTTTGTTTTCATGGCTGCCAACGTTTAAACTCTCTGTTTTTATTTTCTATTTTAAGTCATACCCTCTCTTCTTATATAGATATTCTTTAGAAGATGGCATGGAAGAACCTAGAGTTGACAACCATGGCTGGCATTTCCCACCTTATTTCATTCTTGATCGAAGGCCATGAAAGATTGGATTTAGACTTTATGATGTATAAATATACATTCTGGAGAATGTTTTTCTAGCTTTCAACATCTCTTCCTTGAACAATTTTAATAAACTCCTGGGTATACTCTTTGTTTTCACTCTTATTCCTCCAATAATTTAATGAATTATTAAATTCATTCAATGAATATTTATTAAACTTCCTGGTACTTGCTTCCAGACATCTTTTTAAAATGCATATCTGACCATGTCACTTCTCTACATGGTTCTTTATCATTGTCAAGACGTAGTCCAGAGACTAGAAGGCTTCAGACCTACCTGTCCATTCCATCTGCTACTATAAGCATATAATTGAGGCATACCAAACAACTTGTCTACCTCAACCACTCTATCTCATTTTATTTCTCTATGTTTTTTGTTGTCATATGTTTTTCTTACTTTGTCACATGTCAACACTCTTATTATATTTTAGAGATCAGATTAAAAATCTTACTTCCTTTCTTTCCTTTCTTTTTTGATCCTATAGCATTTTGTATATCACTCTATTAAGACTTTTTTAATCACCCCATTTTTGGTTTTTAATTAACAAATAACCATGAACAGATTACCATACAAAAGATATAAATAGAAAGTATAAGCCAGGATAATCACCAGTATAATTTATAATTAATAACATTAAAATTATTAAAGGACCTCACATAAATCACCTGGGCACCAACACAACCTTTCTTGCATCTATTGTGTAGTGACAATGCAATTCCCTTTGACAAATAGAACCTTTCACTTTAGCCTTGTCCTATGCTTATCAGTTCAATAACACAAGAAGACCAACTTGGCAAAGTAATAGTTCCAAATTTGAATTTTTTTTGGAAGACCAGGTTATGTTCTCTGATGAAAATGTTCCTCTCTTTGGAACTAGGAGCTCTAAATTAACCAAGTTCATGATTTTAGGAAAAAGAAGAAAAAATTCTATAGGTTACTTATGTGAGTGGGATCACTCCTATATCTACCATAAATTCCTGAATTCATGTATTCTTATTATAGGTAAACAACATCATACATTTGTCACTCTTTTAAAGAATATTCCATATCCTTTAAATAGAACTCCAACCTTACATGGTGATATCTGCCAGTTGGTACTAGAACTCTTCCTTCAGTAGGCCATTTCACCATTGTAGAGAGCCAACTGCCTTTGAGTGACGGGACATATGGCAGGCCAATAGTGAATACCAAAGGTGTTAAAGCATTGCCTGCTTTCATTATAAAATGACGTTTTCCACCATTGTGAAATGATGGCAGGTACTATTGCGTGTCATTCCATGGCAGAGAATAAGTCATTCTGTCAGTTTAAGATGGGGCTGATGGAAGAACTGTGTACAAGGAAGATAAACTTGCATTCAGAGTACATATCTATTTCTAATGCTGTTTGCCCCATGATAGAAAAGATCCACTATAATCAACCTGTCACTAGGTGGCTGGATGGTTCTTCCCCTTCCCCCACCAGTCCTGGGAATAATGCCATATCAGTGCTTGGATATGACCTATGTTATTGGCAATTTGGATACTCAGCAGGTGCAGCAGTCAGATCAGCTGTGATGAGGGGAATTTCATGTTGTTGAACCTACATGGAGTCTTCATGTCTGTCAAAATGGTCACTTTGCTCATAATTCCATTAAGCAAACACAGGATAGCTGAGAAAAGAGGCTTACTGACAACCCCAGGATAAGTCTTCTTGCCTACCTGGTTACTGAAAGCCTGGGCAGTGAATGCAACCTGTAAGCATTTTCATGGGACATGAATATATCCTTATTCTATTTCCATTCTAAGAGTACCATCCGCATACTTCTTCCCTAGACTTCCCAGGCACTGATTTTCCAGTCTCACATAGTAACTATGGAGACTCAAATCAGGTTCATCACTGATATAGGATTTATCAGATTACATAGATCAAGTAACACCTTAGTAGGCTGCCCATATACATGTGTTCCTATAAACCCGTGAAAAATTAGTCATTGCCACATATCCCTAAAAGTCAAAACAGTTGGATCACATCTCTGTCCCTGTAGATTATTACAGTCATTGCAGCCATCTGGTCACAGATAATTAAGTGACACTGTGTGGCATCTGCCACTCCAGGATCATATTATTCTCACTAAAATATGGAGCCTAAATTCATGATGGTGAAATGAAAGCCTAAATACCCAATTTGTATCCAGACTGAAGAAACTGCAGAAACAACCAACTACAATAGAGGCTTACAAGGGTGCTGGTGTTCCCTTCATGAGAGTATTTTTTTAATGCCTTAGTAAAGACGTTTTTCTCTAAGCCCCGGAGGGGTGGGTCTATTCCAACACTCCAATCTTCCTGAGTCTTTAAACTTCTTTCTCTATTGTATGCCAGAGAAGTTCTGGAATCTCAATCTTTTTCTTTTTTTAAAATATTAAGGGGGTACAAATGTTTTTGTTACATGGCTTGACTCAGGGCTATAAATGTGCTCATCACATCAATAATTGTTAATTAACATGCTTATAGTATGTTAATTGTACCTGTTAGGTGGGGTTTTGCCCCTCCCCCCCTGCTCAATTTCCAATGACTTTTACTTCCCACTGTGTACTTGTGTGCCTATCATTTAGTTCCAATTTTGAGAGAGTATATGTAGTGTTTGTTTATCCATTCTTGAGATACTTTGCTTAGGATAATGGTCTCCATTTCCTTCCAAATTGCTGCAAAAGGCATTAATTCATCCTTTTTATGGCTGAGTAGTACTCCATGTTATACATATACCACATTGTTAATCCACTCATGAATTGATGGGTGCTTGGGTTGATTCCAGATCTTTGCAATTGTAAATTGTGTGGCAATAAACATTCCAGAGAAGTTCTGGAATCTCAATCATTTTGAATTTAGTGAACTAGTGAACTCAAGCTTCAATATACCAAGAAAACTTTTAGATACCCTCCTAGGTCATGAATCCCTGTTCCAACACACTTAAAATATAATTTCCACAAATGTTCCCCAAATTCTTCACAAAGCATAATGTAATTATTTCTCTGGTTCTCCTACAATCTTTTTAGATTTCGGCTGGCTTGGGACCCTGTTCCTCAGTGGTCAAAAATATTATGAAACTTCAGACCTATCATAGGAACAGGAAGAAGAGGAGAAATAGGGGGAGGAGGAGGTACAGGAGGAGGAAAAAGAAAAATCATCTCTAAAGGAGAAGATCCTGTCAAACCCACCAAAAGGCAGGAGCCCCAAAACCAGACAAACATTGCTAAGATGAAAGAAGCTAGATAAAGAAGAGGCAGTGACATCCAGTCTTGAAGACAAGAGCCCTGTGAGAAAGGCCAAACCCACACTCAGATCTAAGAAGCCATCCAAGAAATGAAGAGTCACGAACCACCTGATTGTGGTGATCAAAGTAGGGCCTGTGAGACCACCATGCAGAATGAGCCCTCCTTGGGATGTACTGCAGTCAAAGGGTGCCACCCCTTTTTCCCTCCACCTGAGTCTGAATGTGACAAAAGTGTTTTGGGA